GTTTAGTTCAGAACCAGACCTCAAACTAGTTCTCTTTAACCAATAAGATTGCATTATCTAGGCGATCATCTTTTTTTAAAAAAAAAAAATTCGAAAAAATTATTTCAATATTACTGTCTCATATTTGTAGACTACTACTATTTATAGTAGTGAGATTGGGCAGCAAGGTTTATTTGTAAAAAAAGAAAAAAACTTTATAATGTATACATATTATATATTTATAATTAGCAGAAATACTATTACCACTTTACTGCTATACCTATATTTTATTTTATTAAAGATCATACTTTCTATTTATATTGCTTCTTTAATCAATTTCACCAACTCTATTACTAATTCAGCTTTTAACACACAGATATACTCTTGCTATTTTAGAATAAAGATGATTGCAGGTTCTTGAGATAGTATTACTAGCTATAGAAAAAGCTTGCTCATATACAATACTAGTTGCTTGAATACTCAGATAGTCAGATACTATTTTTGAAAGAATAGAATAAGTTTCTTGATTTGCTTTCCACTAGTCTTATAGAATTGCCTCTTCTTTAATAAAGTCTAATCTAATATAATATTCTAATTCACTTGTAGTTTAAGGTTCATCAGAAGCATTATTAGGTAATTCTTTCATTTCTAATTTATTGTGCAAATTCCAAAAAAACTTTCAAGCAGTTTTAATTGAATTGTCTTCAGTATTCGTAGAAATGAGTAAAATTTGCTAGTATTTATAAGTATATTGATCAAAAATTTTTTGAATTGTTTTTTTGGCTGTAATAGCTTCTGTTTTACTAAATGTTTTTAATTTTGTACAAGGATCGAGAATAGCAGAGACAACAGAAGACTTATCTATTATATTCCAATATTCCTCTATTTTTTGATAAATTGAAGTAGCAATGTCTTTTGAGAGAATTTATCTTGTTCAATGCACATATCTTAAAAATTTTGATTACTTAAGAATACTAAGTGTATATTACTTATAGTTAGATACAATATTGCAGAGAGTAATTTTGTAGTAGCTTCTATTGGTTCTAGTAAAATAAGCATTTTCTAAAAACAATTTTAATTAATAATTATTAAAAAAAAAAAAAACTAAAAATTTTAATTTTTTTTTTACTTCTAAGCTTTTTTGCTCAATAATATTTGGATATAGATCATTAATCAATAGATAGTCTATGGCAAGTAATTTAAGTACTGGTTCTATTTTTTGCATTTTTTGCAACATATAATAAGTGCTATTTCATCTCGTATCTATATCTAACTCAGGTTTGAGATATGAAATTTCTTTATGTTAGTATAGTCTACACAAATCATCGCAGAGACAAGTAGATACTTTGATTTTTGATATTAAGCTTCAAACTTTTTCTACTGAGGAATCAATCATTTCTAATCCTTGCTTTGCAGCTAAATTAAGAATGTGAGCTGTGCCCAGTAGTGTGAAAACCCAATATTATCAAATTTATATTAAAGTTCTTGCACAATTAGTCTTCTACAAATAATCATCGCAGACTCATTATTAGTAGTAAGTACTAAAGTTTTATCTTAAATATTAAAATCAATAAGAAGATTGTTAAAAGTATCACTATATTACATCTGTGTGTTTGTTAGCAAATGTAATAATATCTAAAAGAAAATGGTATATTTTCCAATTTGCATCGACATAGTGAATCATAACACCAAGAAATACTTCAAAATTTTGAGATGTCCACATATTGGTAGTTAAAGAAAATTTTCTAGAAATTTTTGTAATATCATTAACTATTTTAATTCTTCTACTTTCAAACTCATCTATAATTATTTTTTTTGCAGCTTGTCTTGTAGGTGTTATATAGCAAGAGTCAAGAAAAGTGATAAATTCATTAAAATATTGATTCTCAATAATGGTAAATGGTTGTTAGTCAGCAATAATCCAGATAATTAGTTTTTTATCTCTTTTTTTTTGCTCTTCATCATTATGTGGGTCAGTTCTGGATATTCTCAAAAAGAGAAGAGTAGTTTGACATCTTGCTGGTGCATTAATATTATGAGACTTCAGATGTCTTCATAAAGTTGAAACTCCAGTAGTACTTGAGAAAACATTATTGCACTGTCAGCATACGGGTGATCCAGAATATTTGGTTGTATTGGTATTAAAATGCAGCCAAATTGATGAATGCCTTCTGAATTTTTTTTCTGGTGTGTAGTTACTCGAAGCTGAACTTGTACCAGTTTCTTGAGAAATTAGACTGTTTAGATCTGAAATATTGTCTTCTTCAAGAAGATCATTTTCAGAATCAGAAAGGATATAATTTTCATCATTGTTTTCCATTTTTTTTTTTTTTTTTTTTTTTTTTACCAGAAAAAATCAAGGTAATTTTATATTATTTTTTATTTACTGTATTGGGCTTTAATTTAGTGATATAACAACAAGTATTTTTTTATTGATTTAGTTATTGATCACGGCTAATACATTCTCAATTATCTTATCTAGGGTTTTTATTTTTTTAAAGTATAGTAACAATATATTTTTACTTTTATAACAGCTTTTCTGTTATTCATTATTTCACAAGTCGTTATTTCTTACAATCAAAAATCATGGTTCATCTAGAATTAGTTAATGTATGGCAATATAGCATGATAATTTCTAAAAACAAAAAAACATCTTCATAATTTAATAAGTTTTAGTTACTGTTATTATTCTTTTTTTTTTTTTTTTAAGTTTTTGAAAACGAGAACATGTGTAAAAATAGTATTGATCTGGATGTTTGAATAAAAATTCGAATTATAGAAGTTGAATTACAAAAATTATAATATAGATTTTTGCATTTAACATATTGAACTTTATCGAAATCGCAAGATATTTGAATACCAGTTGAGCAGTAATAACTTATTATCTGGTTTTTTAATTTTGTTTATTATTTTAATTTTTACCCGTTTTGTGTAGATTAATTAAATCGTATATATCATTGGTTCAAAGAAATTCAATCTTGAATAAATGACGCTACAATATTCCTATTTCGAGAATAAGCTTTTTTTTTTGGTTTGAATAATTAAACTGGCTACTATTAAAATTATATATATATTATAGTTTATACCATGTGGTAATCAAGCTTGTTAAGATAGGAATTCTAATCTCGAAAATATTTTATTTAAATTGGCAAAAACTCGTATTGCCTTTTCAACTTAAATTTAAACTTTAATCGCTCAAGGTCATATGTGGAACCAATTATGGTAAGATGGCTTCAGTAAAAAAAATTACGCAATTCAAGCATTTTTTTAAAAAAAAAATTCAGTGTCATTTTATATCTTTAGTATAAAAAAAAGTCCCGTTTATTGCACTTGAGACATGATTAAAACTTCTATATTTGTTACAATTGTTTATGACAGTGATGTGAAATGAAATCCATTTTATTGTAGCAATGGTTATTAGTATAGTGAGTTTTTATGAAGAAGCTTTCTAAGATCGCTTTTACGTACTAAGTGCCGGGTATGATAATATTTTCTTATTGCAAAAAATAAATGCGCGGTTATCTTTGTATATTATGCTTGATTGTTCCCTGCATATTATCTTGCATCTATTTTGATTATATAATCATGATGCTTTGTGTTTATTCATGCGGACTGACCGATTTGGACCGGTTCACCCGATACCCCTGATTAATTAAAAACCCATAACCCCACGTGAACTTAGTCAATACCGAACGACCAAGACTTTATAAAAATTCGCTTATAAAATCTATCCAAGTTAACTATTGGAGTTAAACCGGCACACATTTGTATAACGCTCTCCCAAAACAATAGTAACAATACTAATGGTCAAGAATGTTCGTGGTATATATAAAAAACATTTATAGGTCATTTTTAACCATTTTGAAAACAGCGACTTCTTTTTATTAACAACAATATAATGTCAAATGCCATGCCTAAGTAGGCTCTGACAATAATTTAGACGATAATCTAATGGGTTTTAAGATAATCTAATGGGTTTGATGCATATTCGTTATATCCTTCTTGCATAATAGTGCAGAATAAACCCTTAATAAATCAAAACAATCACCCTAATAATTCGTTAGACCAATAAAAAAATATTAAATGAGGGGGTTAGGACTAAGTTTGGTGACTCTATTCATGGCCCAACTTCCGCCGATTAGCCCATATGTCCAGTTGGTCTCGCCTTATAGGGGTTTTCGCTTCTCAAGAACCGCTGTGCAACTTGAATTATTATCTATTTCCAAATTTGATTAGGTTTCAAAAATGTGTTTCGATGTCAGGTTTTTCTTTATATAAAAAGCAAATCCCGTGACTCAAAATAACGTAATGGTTTTTATTTTTGTAATTGGTAATAATTATGTACGTAATAATGTTTATAAACAAGTATTCTTGGATTTTTATTTTATTTAGTTAATTTAATATTTAAATCATTTAGGGTGAGGCCTGAAATTTTATTATGGTGTTATATATATGCAAATTTTAGCAAGGAATTTTTATTGTTGAATGGTTTCATGCATTTTTTTTTTTTAAAAAAAAAATCAATTTGCACGTTACACCTGTCCTGCTAATCATCCATTGATCGTTTGTTGACCGCCAAAATGGTTTGTTTATATTTGTTTATATTATTGTTTATTTTTATGTACCTGCAGTAAGAAAAAATTGTTTCTTGATGAAAGTCAAGGATTAAAGAAAAAAAATTTATATATTTTAGTATGAAGGGTTTAAATAAGCCTCTTTCAAATTAAAAAATTATAAATAAAGTATTATTTGAACTTAATTTTGACGAAGATTTTCCCATTGATTAAACAATTATCTAGACACTTTAGTTTTGACATTAACACAACCTTGAGATTAACGTTGACGTTACCTTGGCTTTAACTTTAAACCAACCTTAACCACCAATGTTAACTCAACATTAACCAAACTTGACCTTTGAATCATTTAAGCCTCGTTTAAAATTTATGTTTGTTTATCCTTCCCAGTACTAATACAAAAAAATTAACGTTAAACGAACGATCTTCTGCGTTTAGAAGATGATAATGACAAGGTGGATTCCATTCGAAGAGTTAAATGAGTTTAAAGAAATTGGTAAAGGAAGTTCTGGTATTATTTATTCAGCATTTTTGAATAATCACGGAATAGTTGCACTTAAAAAATTGCCTAAAGATTCCAAAAAGGAATTTGACATTTTTAAATCTTTGAATGTGAGACTAGAATTATATGGTTTAACTCAAAATATAAAAAGAAATGAATATATGATAGTCTATCAGTACGCGAATAGAGGTAGTCTAAAAGATTTTCTAAAGAAGAACTTTAAGAGTCTTGATTGGCAAAATAAATTGAAAATACTTGTAGATATTTCACACGATCTATCAATTATTCATCGTAATGGGTACATACACACAGACCTACATAGCGGAAATGTTTTATTACATGAAAATAAAGAAAATATTCGCTCATATGTTTCGGATTTTGGCTTGGTGAAAAGAATCGATGAAACGACCGATTCGAATGAACCTTACGGGGTTCTACCTTTCGTTGCTCCAGAAGTTGCAGAAAGAAGACGACTTACACAAGCAGCCGACGTATACAGCTTTGGAGTAATAATGCTTGAAATTTTGATTGGACAAATACCTAACCCTAATGGTTTTTATTTACAAATTCTCCACGGATTACGGTCCGAATTCACTCTTGTAACTCCCGAATATTACATTGAACTAACAGAAAGATGCATAGATTATGATCCATTGAAACGACCTACAGTTATGGAGATAGAAAATAAACTTAAGGAATGGGTTGGATGTAGATGATTATTCGAATAATATGCACTATCTAGACATTAAATTAGATTTTTCCCGGGCAATTTTTGTAGTTACGGCTAATGATTTGGACACTAGAATTCTTCTCAATACGTTTTAAAACTTTTGTTGTAAAACATGACGATCTTAGATATTCGCAGCATAATCTATTTGATTCTTATAGAAAATCCATGGCAAAATCTGAATAACTATTTCGATAAACAATTAGCATATTAAGGATATTAAGGTTATAAGAAAACATTTAAGATACATAAACCCAAAATTTTAAGTAAAAAAAATAAATAAAATAATCTTATTTCAGAATCTCGAATCAGTGTATTACTTCAGATCAATCCGTAGTCTGATTAATTTACCCATCTAATTAATCTCATTAGTATATCATTATTTTTTAAGTTGAATCACTTTGGTGATCAAACATATCAATCGTTATTCGTTAAACATACTTGTTCTGATTAATGATGCCTCTCGAAACTCGAAACTTTCGAGAGCATCGATATCGAAACTGTCTCGAAACTAGTTTCGACAA